ATGTCGGAATTGAGCAATCTTAGGCCCTTTGGATTCGCCTTGTCGAGACACTTGATTCGACTATGAACTCGTTAGATTCAACATCCGATTGACCTTTCAAATGCCTCCGCAAATCTTCCAAGAGTGGTTTAATGATTTGATTCGGACTTGATCTGACTCGGATTCGACTAGTTTTTATATCATTGGGTCCTTCTCATCGAGCCGGTTAGTTTGACTATAATTTTATTGAAATCAGAGCTCTGAATGACTTTTTATCGAAATTTGAATATTTCTTACTCAAAATATTACCTCGAGATTCGTACTGGATGATAAAAATTTGTTGGTGGGGTATCACTATGTAAGTGAAAAATATGCATATTATTTTAGTATATTTTTGTAAGATTTTTAATTAATGCGTACTCATGCTTATAAAATATATGTACATGGGGAATTTGTTAGCATAAATCCCGAGGAGATCAAAATGACTAAATTAGAAGGGAAAAGACGATGATCAATAATTTGACGAGAAGCTACAAGAACTCATGAAGCAATTTGACTGACTATTGCCAGTCGATCGAAGAACTGCTGATTGACTAGAATCTTGTTTGACTACCCAATGGCCACCGATGCCAACAAGAGACAGACGTCTACACCAATCACCTTAAGACCGATCGGCTACCACTCCCAGTTTTCCAGATCAACGGGCAATCAGTATCCAGACAAAATAGTCAACTCAAACCAGCTAAGTTGACCGACTCAATGTCTTGCTGGTATGAAGGCTTATGCGCACAAAGAGGCCTCAATATCAGCTATGGATATAGAAAGACACCAATAGCATTTAGATTATGAAAATTTGTTAATATTAGTTATGAATACATAAAGGCTTGAATATCATTTATGATTATGAAAATGTGTCGAAGGGGCAATATTGATTTGCAATGCCCCTAATAAGGCAATGCCAAATTTATAAGAATAACAATAAACTGTAACGACCCATGTTGAAGTGGGGGTAAGCATGTATGTTTGTCAATGACCTGTCAATGACCCCTCTATTATTATATATATATATATACACCATTTTTATGAATAAAATACATACTTTTTTCTCTGAAGTGTTCATCGTGTACACTATACTCTCACTCACTGTTTTCTCTCTTCTTCCTTACCCTCTATCCCCATAGTCGTGTTCCAAAGAATAAATCAAAATTAAACAATATACATATTGAACCACATAAATAAGGAATTAGCTTATCAAGTATTATAATATATTTTATATTTCAACACATATATACCTAAGACATTATCCTTGCTCACATTACATAAGAGTCGTCACTCCATTTCCTCGATTACATAAGAGTCGTCACTCCATTTCCTCGATCGATAGTAACATACACAAAATTACAAGTAATATTATAAACTATTGTCTCCTTTCAATTCTAATGCTTATGCATGCTATCTCACTATCAATAACCAATTCTATTAGTTTGCAATCTTGTGAAGGGCCATATTGTGTTATCACTTAATAATGAAGGTGTCATTTATCAAGTAAATCATTATTAGCATATATGCATCCATTATTGTTCATGTAAATATAATTAATTTCACATATCGATGATTTCATATGAAATATAAAGTAACAATAGTTTTTCATGCATGTTTTTGTTTTCTTTTCACAAAAAATATCATGAATACAAGCTTTACACTTTAGTTTTAATGCATGAATATATTTTTTTTATGCTTGTAGCATACCTGAATATTTTCTCATATTCGATATTCATAAAATCCTTATGGAACATAAATTAAAGAGTTCATTTCATGCTCATGTACGGTGATTTTATATATGAATATGAAGGGTTTGATAAAATCTCATTGCATACATTTGTTTTTATATATTTATATATAAGAAAAGTAATTATAGAATAATTCCATAATCTTACAACATGTACAATCATTTATAAAATGTTTAATAACTTTTAGGTAACGAACGTGGATAAGCGAGAAAATAAATTTTAATATATATTTTATAGTCAATTTAGCGTGCATCTTTTACACTTCATGGGTTCTCATAAGTAATACGATCAATTAATTCAAGAGAAATATTCCACATGACACAATACATCTTATAATTCTTCTACTATACCTTTCACATGCCATTGAAATCCATTGATAAATGAATGGTTCACAAGTTTTTAAGCAATTTATATAAAATAGTAACACATCCAATTATATAGGAATTTTTATATGAAAAATTCTATCTTTCAATTTTAGAGTTTAAGATCCTATAAGAAATTGGAAAAATCATTAATTACTTAGATAGATATGCAGTAGCCTACCACATAATGCTAGAAGTTAATCCCAAGATTTGGCATTAAGCAGACTCTCTAAAACCTCTAATGGCTTCCTCCTAAGCTCTCTCTTAATTTCTCTCCATCTTATATTAGATATTATTACCCTCGTTAACTTTGAAAGGATTTTAACATAATCAATAAGAACAAAAGATTCTTAGAATTAATTGTAGAGAAAAAAAAAAATCATGCTATACGAGAAACATTTTTTTTACAGTGATACAATATTCATAAAATTCTATAAATATATTAATAATTAAGTTCATTATGTGGATTCATATGTGATAAAATATGTCTTGCAATTTCAACATTAAATGATTTTAAAATTACAATTGTAAAAGACATGTTCTCGAGTCCTATAATGATTTAATGGATCATACCATTGCTATTACGATGGCACTAATCCACTTGAATTTCAAATACTTATGAAATTCCATGACATGCATGCAATGATATCACATTGATCCATATATTTAAATTCTTAAAATTACATTGATAAAGTCATATTAAAAGAAATTAAATATAATATAACATGTAGATGCAGGATGAAATGAAACGTTTCACTTAAATAAGACAACACCAACAAACAAAAAGAAAGTTAAAATTAGAAGGAGAAGGATGATCACCTAGACACTTACAAAGAAAAGAATAATTGAATGAAACGAGAAGGAACATACTTTTTGAAGAAAGAGGAGGAATTTTTAGATCAGTAGGGAAGGATGCAATGGAGCTAAGGAGAAAGCGAAGAAAAAAGATTGTGGTTGAGTAGGTTCTTCTTTAGTGAAAGAAATATTATAAGATTGAGCATACAATGTGACACTTATAGAATCACACCAAATAAAATAGTAAATCACAAATCCCATCACAAAATCAAAATCGGCATCCAATTGATCTCGACTACCCGCTACTTAATCACTATTTCAACTACTTTGTGAATAAATACAATCATCGACGGCAAAGTTACAACATTCTTGCGCAGGAAAGACCACCCAATTACTACACTAATAGATCTAAGGAAATATAATTTAATATGCTAATACTTAAATCGTGCAAACAAATGGTTTCAAACATGAAGCACATTCGTTCAAAAAAGTTCATAAAGAATTGCTTTCAAACATTCAGTCAAAGGAAATGAAACATCTCTTTTATTTTGTACCGCAACATCAAAAGGTTTGCTAATTAATTTTAATGGAGTCTTTTAACTGAAAAAGGTTCAGCGAGCTGGGATAAGAATGAGAACTTTGGATTATAAACGAAAGTAAAATTTGACGGCAACTTGTTAGGTTCCGCCCTATTGAAAACTTCTTACTGATTGGAGGCTTGGATGCGCCAAGGCCCCACCAATGGGTGGCTTCGCACTCAGCAGCTGAGATGTAGTTTGACTCGGCACTCAATCCCTATAACATATTCAATTATTTCTCATATGTTTGCATACTTCATGCGTTAAATACCAATAAAATTTGGCTTCTTCATAATAACTTTTGTTATGTATGACTCATATATCAGGTAAGGGACAGATGTTGAGAGCGAGCTAGTGGAGCGGATCGGGCTAGCGGAGTGGATTGGAAGTATCTGTCCAATCAGAGGAGTTTCGTTAAGTGGGTTCCGGATGCGGGAGCAACACTCCCATGGTACAATACATGGGTATTTTAGTAATTTTATTTATGAATTTTATGTATATATTTGATGTGTAACCCTATGTGTATGTACTGAATTTTTTCTGTAATAGTGAAATCACCGCTCCCGAGGACGTAGACACAAATTGACGAACCTCATAAATTCTTGTGTTCTTGTTTTTTATTTTCTTATTTTATTTTCAATTTCTTCACTACAAATTTGATAGTAAATTGATTCTATATAGGGTTGTTAATGAATTGAATTGAGTTTTTATCATCTTTTGTTTGAGCCGAAGCTTAATTAATTAATCAAATTTGAGAGGCCGTGCATAACTCATAAATAGGATGAAATTAATTAATATAAAATATAAAAAATATTATTTAAAAATATTTTAATTAATTTATAGTCCAAGCTTTGAAATTTAATATATTTTGAATATATTTTATATTTATATTTTTTTGAAACAAACCGGCTCACGATCTAATAACTCGATCAGGGCTAACTTTGTATTGATTGTTTAGCTCATCAAGCTCAACTCATGAGCCACTTGTCAAGCCAACTTAGCTCACTTAATTCTACGTTTATTTCAACTTTTATATCTTTTAAATGAATTTAATTTTTTTAATCATTTAAATTTAACATAATAAATTTACAAGCTAAACATAAATTGAAAAATTTGGCTCCCATGATGGACTCGTTTACGCCGCGCCCTAGTCAAGGCTGCCACACGTGGTTAAAGCCAGGTGTAACTCCAACGGCTCCCGCTTTCTGAATCTACGGTGGCTTTTTCACAGCCGTTCAAATACCGACCGCATCTAGGAACCACATCCCTCGCCCAGAGTCGGTCGCCGATTTTTTTTTTTTTACCCGATCCAACAAACCCGCAGTCACTATAATCGATTTCTTACCATTTGATTAAAATCCAACGGCTATAAATCCATCTTCTTTCGTTTCGAATAAACATCGCAGTCAGGAGATCGCCGACACGAGCCGTTAGGGTGGCGCGAAGTGTCACGTTTATCGCCGTTACCTTAAACAGTTGTTTTGTATTTAAGAGGCCGGTGAATTGATTCGGCGATTCCAAGGTGTGGATTGCAGAGAGAGAGATATGGAGGCGTGGGTGGCCTTCGAGGATTCCGGCGTGTATGGTGGCGTAGTGGTGGAGCTACTTGAGCGGGTGTGTTCTGTGGACGCGGAGTGCAGGATAGAGGCGGCGAGGGAGATACGATGGTTGACGAAGACGTCGTCGAAGAACAGGAGGCAGCTTGCCGGCGCTGTTGAGGCTCTCGTCTCTATGCTTCGGTCTGAAATTCCGGAGGAAGCTCAGGCGGCAGTACTCGCGCTTCTTAATCTTGCCGTCAAGGATGAAAGGTGAGAATTTGAAACCTTATTGAAAGGGGTGAAGAATATTGAGGTTTCGTTTTCTTTGTTTCTGTGTGTTTACTGAATACTATATGGATCTGTGACGTTGTTGGAAGGAAAAAAAAGCCTTGCTATGTTTTGATTTGAAAAAAAAAGTATAGAGGTTTCGGTATTGAGTTATATGTATTATCTGGTTCTAAAATTGGTCATGATTTGTTGTTTATGCACAAATTTTACAGTTAGTTGGAAAACAGGGAAAAAAAGTGGTTTTATGCTGGATTTAGAAAACGAATTGCTTTTGTTCAATTAAGAAGGGCGTCAATTTGGGAGATTTTATTTACTATTTAGAGTTAATTTTCTGCCGTTGGTTCATTGAAAGTGGGATAAGTTTCAAAGCTATCTTTTTTGAATTACCAATCGTCTTCATCAATTAGTGTTATCCCAAATATTTGCGGTTGGCCTATTTACTATGACTTTATTTTTGGTCGAAGTAAAGTGAAGGAATGAAATTAAGTCCTAGCACTCTGTTGGTTGATTATCTCTCTCTCTCTCTCTCTCTCTCTCTCTGTCGTCATCATCATCATCATCATCATCATCATGCAAACGCAGAATTATATGGAGGAATATCTTCATATAAGAACGATCTTTTATGTCGATAGGAGGAGGGACTCGTATTGATAACTCAAGGAGTGGTGAAAATCGAACATATCCATCTTCATCCTTGGAGTTTAAAAGTGTAATTTCTAAGTTGTTAGATTGTGCTGTGTTTATGTCACAGGTTTTGAATTCAATCCTTATATGTCTATCAGTTCTAATTTGTAAAGTGTCTGTTGTAAAACTAATAAAGTTTTGTTTTTTTTTTTTGCGGTTGTAGAGCTTGAAATTTAATTTTAGTACTTCCTTCTTGGGTTGATGTCCTGGGTTTTATGTATTATTCTATATCCTGTTATCCTTCTAATGTTTTGTTGGATTCGTGCTGAATTGTTTTTTGCAATTTGCTTAGTTTGCTGTGAAGTTCAAGACTTGCCCTTTATTGATGCAATTCCCTTTCGGGTTACAATTTTTTTCCTTTTACATCAGGCATAAGATTTGAAATTATTACAAAAAGGAAGAAAATCCTCTCTATGGAAAAATTCAGCAAATGTTAAACTTAATTTTCTTTTAATTTGCATGTTCAGGAATAAGATCAAAATTGTGCAAGCTGGGGCACTTTACTCACTCTGTGATTTTCTGAAATCATCAGACCCAATTCTGCAAGAATATGCCACTACTTCTATCTACACTCTGTCTGCCTCCTCGATGAACAAAACCCCCATCTGCGCAGCAGGTGCCATTCCCCTGCTCATCATGGTCCTCACAGATGGAACCCCACAAGCCAAGATCGATGCCGCCGCCTCTCTCTTCAACCTCTCCACAGTCAAAGAGAACCTGAGCTCCATCCTCTCATCCCATCCTATTCCACCCATCATAAGCCTTCTCAAATCCATCAAAAAATCTTCCAAAACAGCTGAGAAGTGCTGCGCTCTCTTGGAATCCTTGCTAAGTTTTGACGAGTTAGGCACTGCGGCTGCCTTGACATCAGTCGAAGGCGGAGTGCTTACAGTAGTTGAAGTACTGGAGGATGGCTCTGTGGTAAGCAAAGAGCATGCCGTCGGCACACTATTAAAGATGTGTAAGAGTGATCGTAAAAGATACAGGGAAATCATTCTCAATGAAGGCGTGATTCCCGGACTTTTAGAGCTTACAGTTCAGGGAACTCCCACAGCTCAGGTGAAGGCTCGTGAGATGCTGCAGCTGCTGAGAGAGTCCCCTTACCCGCGGCGGGAACTTCGAGCAGATACACTCGAAAACATAGTGTACAACATAGTGTCTAGAATGGATGGAGATGATAAGGTAGGGTTGAATATGGCGAAGAAGATGCTGGCTGAAATGGTGCAGGTCAGCATGGAGCAGAGCCTCAGGCATTTACAGCAGAGGGCTTTTGTCTATACCCCCTCAGATCTTTCTCTTGGTAGCTGTAGTAATTCTCAGGTTCGTTTGAAGTAGAGAAGAGAGATATTTATGTTACATCTTCTCATCTCTCAGTGTTTTACATATGTTGTAGTAAAAGAAAGGTTAAAGATGCCAGTCCAGGCCATGAAGGTAACTGGTGACTGGTTAGTGTTCATACATAAAGTGTATGGTTACATATGTGCAGGAATTCAGCATAGATGGGATTTGTGCTGAGACCATGTATACAGTACAAAATTTCGTTCAACAATGAAGATTGCAACTTCTTATTTCAGTTTTTTCGTGAATGGAAGCCATGTTTTATAAATTATGATTCTAAATGTGAAAGTAAAATTATTGTAAGAACTAATATTTGATGTTATAATTAATAAAGTTAACTTTTTCAAGTTTATGTGGGGGCTGCCTCAGCTTGGTAAAAATATTATATACAGATTCCGGTTGTATCTAGGCTCCAACAACATTGTGATGCGTGGCATGTCTCCATACAAGTCAGGTACAAAATTTATACTCTCAGGGTATAAATAGGGTACAAGTAGGGTATAAGTTTTGTACCTGATGTACAAGGTACAGGGTACAAAATTTATATCATACTTGTATACTGACGGTACAAATTTTATACTATGTTTGTAACTTGATTTAAATATATCATGCGTCACAATACAATTAAAGTGAGAATACATGTGAATTCTAAGCTTAATATTTTTTTTCTCAGCTTGTGGGGCTCTTGATTGTTCAGGTGCAGCGCAGCACAAAAAATCCGTGCTAATGAATATGTAGCAGGCGCCACGGTCATGCTTCCAGCGCACCATAATATGCCAAAAGAGAGAATTAAAAAAAGATAGAAGAGAGGTATAGGATGAGAAACGGGCTTTGTGGTTGGTGATTAAGCTCCGCATTAGGATATTTTATTCCTGATTTTCTTGTGACGGGCGCCTCCTAAATTTGACTTTCAACTCAGATTTGAGTCATAAGATAGGGAAGATTGGGAAAATCTCAGCTTACTAGTTTTAGTTTTAGATTAATCAGTAATTAATTATTCAATTGAATTAATTATGATAATTAACTTTTTTATTCGAATGGTTGAGATTGTATTGCTAGCATATTAAGATAATTCATTCTGTTAATTAATTAATTACTTAATTATTTATGGTACAAAATTTCAATAAGATTGATTGATTTTTTATTTGAGATAATTATAAGACTTAATCATATGATTAGTAATTAGTGACTTAATTATTCAAATTACAAGATAAATAAGATTAATTTATCTTATTTTATAAATTTTATCATATTAAATACTTTGATTTAAAATTCAATGTACATCTTTAATGTCCTATAGATGATATATATAATACTAATGTAAGAGGTTTAGGTCAAGGGGTTGGATCTCTTTCTTTTATTTATTTTTTTTTTTTCTTTTGGCTCTGCAACTAATTTGAGTGTGATACGCAAGCCAGAAGAAAGCCAACGATTAGGTTGGAAATTATTTGGATTCCTGTTTGGCAAATTTATAATTGCTATTGAACAAAATATAAATTGAGGCTATTTTGGGAGAAATGTTGTGAGAAATAAGGAGACAGAAGGAACAAAATAATTTGTTTTTTAAACATGGAATACTATCATGATTTGATGAAAGCATATTGGTGCAAAAATTATCTTTGTGATTTTATGGACATTTGAGAACACATATTTGGATGGATTTCTTAGTGAAAATATCCAATAATGGCTTAAAAGAGAATAATACAACCATTTTCAATGAACAACTTGAATGAGGATGAGTAAATAAGCGGACAAAGTAGTGGAATAATTTTTAGCCAAAAGCCTTATATTAACAAAGATAAAAAAGAGCTTTGAAAAAATCTTACAATGAAATTGCTTAGAATATAGAATGTTTGAGAAGGATATTACAAGGTTATAATGACATCCAAAGCTTCCATCCAATCAAATAAAAAGACAAAAAAAACTTTGGAAGATGCTTCAAAGCAACTAAACCTATAAGAATGTTGATTTGGTTAGATATTTACCTCAAAGGAGATATTTTGAGATCCATTTTCTTAAATTAGCAAAAAAATGAAACTTTTAGGATGTTATCAATTGTTACTTAAAATCAATAGCTTGAAATCAACGGCTCTATACTTTTTTCCGTAATAAAAAAATAGGAAATGTATAATAGTCATATAATAATTTTTTGTGACATTTATTGAATATAAAATTTGTATATTAAAAGCGTCATTGACATTCAATTCTTTGATCTTCATGAAATTTTATCAAAGACAAGTTAGCAGAGGTAAAATAATAAATTGATATAAGCTATTTATAATTAATTGGGACTTAGTGTATTGATATGTGTAAAGTTTAATTAAATTAGTTAACTAATTATTGTTAATACATTTATTAATTAATTTGTTCATGTTATTTTCCATTTAGCTAGTTATCTCCTCTATCTCTTGAGAGCTATGACCAAAATTTTTTTTTCAAGAGCTATAATGGACTTTTTTGAATACTCCTATTTCTTTATGGATTTGTGATGGGGCTTTTAAAGTGATACTCTTGAGTTGGGATGGCTCCATCGAAGAGCAAATCTTTATAAGGAGTTTTACTATGAATTAGGGTTTAAATCTGTTTGGTTATTTTAATTTGATTAATTAAGAATATTTCGTTACTGTTTCTTCCTTTGTATTTGTGGTAGTTTTGACGCTTGAACAATTTGTATTATCTTTGACCTATTCTCTAAGTGAATATTGAAGTTGGTGAGATTTGATGTTTCTTGTTTTTGTGAGATTGTATGATAAACATTGAATGTGTAAGTTTGCTCTCCATGTACAAGGGGCATGTTTAAGTTTGCTGTTTGTAATCATGTTATTTAGCTTATTCATTCTTCCATATTAGTTAATTGATAAGTCTTTCTATTTGCTTGTTTAAGTAATTCAGTTAACTAATTAGTTTTATGCAAGTTATTTGTTTTCGGTTGCTGCATCTGACATCTATAATCACTTGTAGATCTTAATAAAAATCAATAAATATTAAAAAAAAAGTACAGGTGAAAAAATTTCAAATCAGTCCGATTGAAAATGTTGTTAATTTTGTAGACCATTTGATCTGGTCTTACTGCAAAATTATCAACTAACAGGAGGTTAGCGCAAAATGGTAACAAGCAAAATACAATGAAGCAAAAAACATTACAAAAATAAGAATATGTAAAAAAAGTTCATTTGCACCCACTTTAATAAATCCTCACTAAATTATTATAAGTTAATGACCCAGAGTCCATAGTTGAACTATTTTTTAAAGTATTTAGTTAGATAACTTACACTTTTTTTTGTGTATTTATATAAATTTTTATGTCACAAGAATCGCAAAATCTATCAATCTATCACTCTTAAGCGTACGAACAAATGTGTACTTTAAATTAACCAATTACCCAAAGAATTACCTATTAATAACGTTCGCAAATCAGATAATTTAACTCACATAAATAGCTAACAAATAAAAGCTACTGACCAAAATGTCAACTCATGATTATTCAAATGTGTTGAATGTTGAATTGTCGGTGAATCACACCTCAAGGGAGAAATGAATTATAAAATATCTTGTCTTTTAGTCATTTTACAAAAAAAAAAATGATCTCCCTATTTATAGGGAAAATAGTACAATGTGTTATTATATTTCTAATTCTGCGTTAATGTGGTCGTTGTAGGATATTTTAGATATTTTATATATATGAGTCTATTGCTCGACTACTATATGGCTCGTTCGACAGTGATGGCTTGACTTTGGCTCAATAAAACTGATTCGGTCGATTAGGCTAAGTTGGTGTAATCGGTCAGCTGACATTGATTGGCTTCGAGTAAATAGGACAGACTCAATTGACTAGACATTACAATTCAGTTAATCTAGTTTAGCTATCGACCCTTGATCTCTGGATGAGGAATTCAAGTCAATGGTACGAAACCAGACCATCGAGTAGTGGGTCAATCACCGTAAGTCGATATATGACTCATTTCTTAACAATGGAGTCCTTCGAGATGATTGCGAGACCACTGCATTGCTCCTCCTTGATCCCTGACGGGGAGCTTTAGGGGCATCTGTGGGACGGCTCGTGATGGCAAGGAACTATATTATTTAATAGGGTTGGATCTGCCTGTGGTAGATCCATGCCTTCGCTTGGCTTTCTTGTAGTTGTTAGCTCGGGGGTTGATCTGTTTGTTCGAGTTTGACATGCCCAGGCATTGATTGTTCTTTTTTTTCCTTCTCCTAGATCATTGGCCTTTATCCTTGACTCGAATGGTTGCATGCGAACAATAAGAGGAACCTCTTGGTCTCTTCTAAATGGGATTTTCTTTATTGTACTTCCTTTCTTCTGGTTCGTTGAGTCTCCTCAGGATTCATGCTAACACATTCTTGGTGTACATATTTTAGTTCATTGATGCTCTTGCTTCTTAAAAGCGAAGTTGTAATAAGAATAAGAAAATTAAATGCAAAAGTAGATATCATTTATTTCGTAACTAGAGCTTCGATAATTGAACTTCTTGGATTTATATGCCCACGATTCTTATAAATAGGTCATGACAGGGCTTCTTTGTTATTCCAAATTTACTCTACATCTCTCCTTGTTTGAATCAGTCGGCTTTTAAACAATTTCATGGAGAACCTCTAGAACCCCCTAGATAAACTCCTGAGCAGTCAACCAACTTCTGGAAGCCATTCGCATGTTACAGAATGGTAAGAAGAAACTTGAGGGTGAGAAGAAAAAAAAGAAGAAGAAGAAAGTCACTTTTAAGTATTAACAGACAGATGAGCCAGTGGACCAAGTGTGGTCATCTGATTCACTACAAGGTTCTCAGTGGAGGAAAAATTGGGCGAATGATGGAATCAGGTGGCCGACCTGAGTGTCAATTCGTTAGTTCAAGCTCCTATCGCAACTCTAGGCCAACCAATTGAATAAACTATGTAGAATGTTATTGGTGCTTCGTTCGAGATGTTCATTTTTATTGGATGCATTCATCTGAGCTAAGGATGAAGCAAAACGAACCAGAAGAAGGATAAAAAGAATGATCCAAACCAGGTTCGATCGGACTTTAACAAACATATCAACACCAGAAATAACCTACAAAGGAAAACCGAGTGAGACTACCTATCTCTTGGTAGATCCATCCAGAGGAAGGGATTCGGTTCCTGGCCATCACTAGCAGTCCCACGGATACCCTTGGGGCTCTTCATCAAGGACAAAGAAGCGTTAGTGTGGTAATCTCACAATCAATTCGAAGGACTCCCTTGTCAAGGAATAAAACATCTATCAAGTTACAATGATTCACCCGCTGGTTGATAGCTTGGTCTCATTCTGCAGTTTGAAATTTCTCATCCACAGATCTAAGGTCGATAGTTAAACTAGATTAATTAATCAGTAAAGAATAGCCGACTAAACTAATCATGTCGACCCAAAGCTAATCAAAGTCAGCTGACTAATTGCACCAACTTAGCCTAAGCAACCCGATTGGCCTTACCAAGTTGAATTCACGCCAGCCCTACTGATCGAGTCATAGGGTAGCCGAGCAATATCGTTATGCATGTAAAATATATAGTGTCTTGTAGCAAACACATTAAATCGCTCAATGTATGAGCTATGACCCGTCCATTTTATGGGGTATTGGGCCTCTAATTGATTGCCCAACTGTAACTTATCCTTTAGGTATCTTTATCTGCTCAAATCGACGACACATACCTTACTTGAATTGCTCCATCCAATCAAGGGCATTTAGATCATGCAGTATATAATATCTTAATTCACTTATTTGACATGTAAATAACATATCAAACATAAGTTTGAAGCGCATAAAAAAAAATAAGTGCAAATACTGTTGTGGTATATTGAAATAGAATAGAACGATCGAAGACGAAGCAAAAAATGAAACGAGAAAATTCACACCTGAAAAGAATACACAAATTTACGTGCTTCGACAAATTGCCTACATCCACGGAGTTGCAGAGGATTACGGAGTTGCAGAGGATTTTACATTTTACTAATTGAGGAATTACACCGTTTGATCACGTTGACAATTACAGGATCTCTCACTTGCTCTTTCTCTCTTTACACCAAGATTCAACCAAGAGCAAGAACACCGAAGAAAAAGAAATACATACAAGAGAAAAAAAAAACCTATTTCTCTTCTGTTACAAGCCAACAAGAAGAAATCAAGAAGAACACTAGCCTCTTCCACTATCTTCTTCTTCCTTCTGCCAAGCACACAAAAACAACTAAGAAAGAACACCTTGCGAAAACACATTTTTCTGACTTCTGCTTTCTGTAAGCCTCAAGAAGAATCCAAGCAGGGGATCTCCTTCCCCGTTTCCACAAATTGAAGGAGACGAAGGCTTTCCTGTTTTTGCGAACTGAAGGAGACGAAGGCTTCTGTTTTGCGAACGAGATAGGTGAAGAAAAGAGGAAGTAACCTACTTCGCGAGAGACATAGAGACGGGGATGGGAACCAATTCGCGAAAACGGGAAGAACAAGGTAAAAAGGTGGAATAGAGCATTTTAGGCGGAAGCAGTTATAGCAATATATATTTTTTTCGTTTTACTTAACTAGACTCCACACAACACAGTATACCAGCATCGGAATAAGAATGTCTTTAGACCAAATATATGTGTGGCCCCACATCTTCTCTTTCTGAAGCCATGTATAAGAGCCTTTCATCTACATTTCATTGAAATCTCTTTCAGGGTTTATAAGCCGGCAAAATAAACCAGACCCTACGTCTACTCTCTCCGGACAATCTCTTTCAAGCTCTTCTTCAGGGTTGGTGTTCAAATCCTCTCTTTTTATGTCATTTTACACATTTTTCTCAGGTTGTATGAGTTCACCAATGAAATAGGATTTTATGTCTTGAAAGAATTTAACAATGATATATTATTATTAAATCAAATATATTATAATTAAATAAATTTAATTTAAATAACATAACATATATATTATGAGTTCTCATGAAACTTAATATCAAATATTTGATAAATTATTTATTGAAGAAGAACAGAAAAATTATTTGTGAACATAAAAGTTGAATCATATTCAAACAAATTTCATTTAATTTAACTCCAGAGTTCTAAGAAAAATAATTAAAATTATTTATTTACTAATTTGAGCAAACAACCAATTATGACTTGAGCAGTTATATATGGTTATTCTTGGAGTGCATTGATTCATTTACAACCATTATTATTACAATATAAAAATAAAAATTTAAGCGTTACGTATAGGGGTGTAAACAAGTCGAGTCGAGCTCGAGCCACTCTCGGTTTGAGCTTTATTAATTTTATCAAGTTTGAGCTCGAGCTGGAACTCAAGTCAAAAAGTTTGAGCCGGCTCATTAGCATGCTTGCTTATTATAAAAGAGAGAAACTAATATTAATTTAAGGCAATGCCATAATAAAATAATAAATAAAAAGAAAAATTAAGACATACATAATAAGAAATCACTTAATATAAAATATAAAATAATATTTTTAAAATATTTTTAATACTTTTAAAATAAAATATTCAAATTTATAATATTTTGAGTATATTTTACATTAATATTTTCTTAAACAAATCGGCTCACGAGCAAATAAGTCGAGTTGGGGCTAACTTGAACTTGGCCTGATAACTCATCGAACTCAGTTCAAGCGCTGCTTATCGAGCCGAACTCGAGCCAGCTCAGTGTATCTACTTGACTCACTCACACCCCAAATTAGGCATTCAAAGGTATAAAAATTATGTAATATAATGTATATTTTTAATGTCGTTTATTTGACACGTAAATAACCTATCAAACATAGAATTGACGCGTATCAAATAAATACGCGCAAATACGACTCTTCACGCTATACCGACCAGATTGTGTGATAAGTGCGACCCTACACCTCTCAGCCAGCCACAGAGATTTCCCCGGATAAATGGAGGAAAAGCAGCTGGACTTCTTACTGGTTCCCCTGGGCCTATTTGTCCTCGCTCTGTATCATGCATGGCTTCTCTTCTCCGTCCTCAGGCGACCAAATACCACTGTCATCGGCCTCAATGCCTTTGCTCGCCGGCGATGGGTCCAAGCAATGATGGCTGTCAGAAACCCTCTTCTTCTTTTCTTTTCTTGTTCTGCATCTTGCAAATTTTGTTAGCTTTTATTGCCTTTTGGCTATTTATTGCTTGACGTCTTTTATTGATTCGTGAGATTTATTTTTATTTTTATTTTTTGCTATATGGTTTGTTTACAAGATGCTCGGGGACCAGGACGCGAGATTGATAGATCTTAGCACCGCCCTGTGATTCGTGAAATTTTCTCTTCATATATACTATTGTGAAGGGAAAGTGAATGAGCAAAACTTAAGGTTTCTTTTTCTTTTGCCATTTAGCAATATGTGCTGTTACAGGATTCTGATCCACGGCTAAATATAAAGAACTCTTTCATCCTCACACAATGTTTATGTTTACATTTCTTGCTCTGTTTGATGCGAGTTTAATGAAACCTCAGAAATCACTTCATCTTTCATTTATTAATGTACCATCAAAGCAACAATTGTTGTATTTCTTCTTTTCAAGTGAGAGCCGTTAGGCTTTACTAATGGGGGAAAAGTTTATATGGTCTTTGCTCTGTCTCTTATGTCCTTTATTCACAAAGAAATAAAAAAACTCAATTATTTTTTTTCACATTATTATTCTACCTCTTATTTATTTTTATTTAAAAGAGTTGTTTCCTTTGAATCTCTAAGCACATATTTTGCAACTTGATATTACTCGTTACTTTACTAAACAGAGTATTATCTTCTTCATGAGTATTTCCTATTTTAAGATTTTAATGATCTCATAAAGGTAATTTTATTTGTCTTTTAAGTCTCTTCATTTTATTCTATGATAATATTTCATTATATTTTTTATCTTACAATCATTCATCTTAAAATTTAAAACTAATAATTGAAGTTGGGTACTCAAATTTTCATTTGAAATTACCATTCAATCCGTACATTTTCGACGATTTATTTTTTTCCTAAGAAAATAATCAATTTGTATATTATTAATTCCATTCTTATAAGTGATAACATGCTCATCTCCTTTTTTAAATAAAGTATTAATAATAACAAAATCTTGATCTTAAATTGAAAAGATATGAGAGGATTTAATTTTATTGATGAAAAGGGTATAAATGCCCATAACAAGACTTACTAGTAAGAAAAATAATAAAAACAGAATACAGTAGCAAAAGAAATGAATAATAATAAAATATAAGAGACAACGAATCTCTCTTATTTAAGGAGATAAATAAATAGAGATTCCCAAGATCCCTCATATAATTTATAACCCTCTAAATATAGAGTTATAACAAATATGAAATATAATTATTAGTATTTTCGAGATCTTTCAACACTCCCCCTCAAGTTGGGTTGTACAGATTGTACATGCCTAACTTGTTACATAATTCTTCAAAGTTGATTCTTGGGAGAGGCTTAGTGAGAATATTTGTTGTTTGATGTCGGGAAGGAATGTATGCAAGTTTGACGATTCCTCTCTCAATATTTTTTGAGATGAAGTATCGATCGATCTCGATGTGTTTTGTTCTGTCATGGTATACTGGATTTTTTGCAATGCTGATGGCTTCCTGGTTGTCGCATTGTAGTTTGACAGTTTTTTTAGTTAACATTTCGAGTTCATTGAGTATTCTTCGAATCCACATTCTTTCGCAGACCCGAGTGCAAGAGCTCTAGTTTCAGCTTCAGCGCTGCTTCTTGATACCACTGACTGTTTTTTGCTTCTCGAAGTGACTAGGTTTCCCCAGACATAAGTGCAATAGTCGGAAGTTGATCGTCGGTCTGAGACATCCCTGCCCAGTCTGCGTTTGAGTACACTTCTATACTTCTATCATTATTCCTTTGAAACAGTAGCCCTTTGCCTAGAGTCATCTTGAGGTATCCTAAGATTCTGTATACTGCATTCATGTGTTCTTCCGTAGGGTTGTTCATGAATTGACTAACAACACTAACAGAAAAATCAATGTCGGGTCGTGTGTGTGAGAGATAGATGAATCGCCCAACGAGTCACTGATATCTCCCCCTATCCACAGGTGTGTTATTTTTCTCAGTGACGATCGTCTTGTAGGGATTCATTGGAGTATCGACGGGTTTGCAACCGAGCATACATGTTTCCTTCAATAGGTCCAATGTATATTTCCGTTGTGACACAAATATTCCTCAGTTTGATCGAGCTAGTTCCATGTCGAGAAAGAACTTTGTGTTTTTGAGGTCTTTGATTTCGGATTCCCGAGTGAGAAGCTTTGTCAGATTTGTGAGGCTTTGTCAGATTTGTCTTTGTCAGATTTGTGAGTTCTTCTTCATGATTTCCAGTGAGGATGATATCTTCGACGTATACGATTAGAATTACAATCTTCTTTTCGCAAGAGGTTTTCACAAAGAGAGTGTAATCTGCTGACATTGAGTATACCTGTGTTTTGTCACTGATTTTGCAAATTTGTCGAACCATGCTCGGGGAGATTGTTTGAGGTCGTACAATAATTTTTGGAGGTTGTAAACTTTTTGCTTGGAAAAGATGTTTCTAGCCCGGGAGGTGCTTCCATGTAAACTTTTTCTTTCAAATCGTCATTTAGGAAAGCATTTTTCACGTCGAGTTGATGTAGCTGTCAGTTTTCACTTGCCGCAAGTAAGAGAAGGATTTTGATGGTGTTAAGTTTGACCACGGGGGCAAAGGTTTCTTGGTAATCAATACCTTAGGACTGTGAAAAATATTTTGCTACGAGATGTGTTTTTAATCTCTCAATGTACCATTTGCCTTGTATTTGATTTTGAAGATTCATTTGCATCCGATTGTTTTCTTTCTTTTTGGCAGGTCTGAAATAGTCTATGTACTATTCTTTTGTAGGGCTCTTATCTCATTGATGTTCGCTTTCCACCCCGGGTGTTTGAGAGCTTCATCAATAGTGTTTGGGACTTATATATTGTTAAATGTAGTGACATATGCTCTGTAAGCTGAAGATAGTCTTTCATAGGACGCAAAGTTGGAGATCGGATGCATCGTGTGTTCGTACCTGAGTGGAGGTCGGATGGTCCTAACATCTTTCCTTAAAATAATTGGAATGTCAGAGTCATCAATCATAGGTATAGTAGATTCATGTTCAAGTGTGTTCGTACCTGAGTAGATTTTTGTAGGAGTTGGATCCGGTTCTGACTCTTGGATTGGTGCTGGATGTGTTGGGTGATCTATGTGCGAGTTGGACACTTGAGGAATAGACGGAGGCTGATTGTTAGGTACATCTTCACATGAGTTGGATGAACTTGTTGAATCCGAGTTGGAAGATAATGAGTTCGGTTCATGGGACGAAGATTTGGTGTGTGGTGGTATGAAATCGTTGTCCCCCCAAGACTGATATTCCCTTAAAGTCTCCCCCTGAATATTAGAATTGGGGTAGTAAGACTGATTTTCAAAGAATATGACATCCATAGTGTTGTAGGTTTTTCTTGTGAGATGAGAGTAGTACTTATACCCTTTTTGAAGAAGCGAGTAGCCGAGAAAAATATATTTAGTAGATTTAGAGTCAAGTTTGTTGCGATTGTGTGAATGAATGTGAACAAAGGATGAGCAACCAAATACTTTAGTAGGTAGATTTTGGGTAATTGTCTTGGTGTGGGGAAATGATTTGAGAAGGAGTTGGATTGAACTTTGAAATTTGAGGACCCGAGAAGGCATCCTGTTGATGAGATAGGCTGCAGTGGATACATAAAAAACCCTAGGCACGTTAGAGAAAAACATGAGGCAGCGGGCCACCTCGAGAAGGTGGCGGTTCTTGCGTTCGACGATCCCATTTTGTTGAGGAGTGTCGACGCAAGAACTGAGATGGAGGATGCCTTTAGAGGAGAGAAAAGAGTCGATGACTGAAGCGAAGTACTCTTTTACATTATTAGACTTGAGTGTCTGGATGAAGGTTTAGAATTGTGTTTGGATCATTGAGTAAAATTGTTCAAATATGTGACCGACAACAGATTTATCTTTCATAAGAAAAAGCTACGTTAGTCGAGTGTGATCATCAATAAAGGAGACAAACTACCGAGTCTCGGTACGGGTTGTAACACGGGATGGGCCCCAAATATCGCTGTGAATGAGTGCAAAGGGTTGGGAAGAGGTGTAACCAACACGTGGAAATGACGTGAGAGTGTGTTTGGCAGGTTGAAAAAATTTAAATTGAAAAGAACGAACATCCTTTTTGATAAATAATTTTGGAAATAGTTTTGCAAAATACATAAAATTTGGATGGCCAAGACGAAAATGACATAATATGATCTCAGAATCTTTATTGATACTAGAATTGAAGACAGAATGATGGGTAGGCAAATGTCCGCAGCGAGGTCGTGGTGGTGAAGTACCGTTGATAACGTGGAGACCCGAGCACAACTTAACATTGTCAATCATCGTCTCCGAGTCCACATCCTGAAATTCACGCGTGGTAGAGAAAAATTTAACAATACACCTCAGATCACTAGTCAACTTTCCGATGGATATTAAATTGCAATTTAAAGTAGGAACATGAAGCACAGATCGGAGTAGAATGTTTTGGGTGATGCGCATAGAGCCAAATTTGGTGACTTTGGAGAAAGAGTCATCGGCAACGCGGATGGTGGAGTTGTCTCCGCACATCTCCGCACGACATATAGTAATGGAGAAGAGAGGCATCACCAGTCCTATGATGAGAAGCACTGGAATCGATGATCCACTGACCGAAGGATCCTTGATTGACTATGAAGGCATGGTAGAACGTACCTTGATGCAGGAGCAGGCCAGTGATGGGGTCTGGAACAGCCAGATCAGGTGGTTTGCTAATCCGTTTGTGCAGCAAATCTAGTTGCTCTTTGCTGAATGGACTGGGCGCTGGTGCTCATGGACAGAGACGACGCTGTTGACACGGGGAGCGTGATCAGACTGAGGCTTCCAATCGGCTGGCTTTCCATGAAGCACCCAAATCTAGTTGCTCTTTGCTGAATATAACTTGATTTGCGACAGTGGTCGCACCAGGGACGACCCTTGCGTGATGGGTTATCGCTATGTTGAGGCAGAGGAACCC